CAATCGAACCCAGGTCCTCTGCAAGAGCAGTCAGTGCTCTTAACCGCTGAGCCATCTCTCCAGCCCGTGTCTTTTTTTTTTTTTAAAGTAAATTTCAGGGGAATCTTTACAATATTATTCCCATTCTTGAGCACATTGTTTTTATCTATTAAGTTCTTCTTTAATGCCCATAAGGTACATGAAGTATTTCACAGGAGTCTCATGTAGCAGCAGTATCTACTGCCTTGTGCATCATGCTTTCCTCCTCAGTCTCCCCAATGTGGACATCCCACAGCACCTCCACCTTTGGCCTGAGCTTTCAGAACAGCTATGACAAGTGATCTTTCCAAGATTTAATCTCCCCATGTCTCTTTTTAAAAAGATTTATTTTTATTTTTAATTATGTGTATGCTTATGTATCGTATCTGTGTGAGGGTATGTGCATGTGAGTGCAGTGCCCACTGAGGCCAAAAGAGGGCGTTGGATCCCCTGGAGTTACAGTTACAGGCAGTTCTGAGAGCCACAAGACGAGGGTACTGGAAACTGAACTGAGTCCCCTACAAGAGCAGCAGTAAGCTCTCTATTGCTGAGCCATCTCTTCACCCTGTCATGTCTCTTTTTTAAAATTCTGCAGCTCAGTTGGCAGAGTGCTTGCCAAACATACATGAAGTTTTGGGTTTGATCCCAGCAATAGTGGGATCAATAAACTACACATGGTGGTCCATGTGTGTAATCCCAGCACTTGGGATGTGAAGGCGGGAGGATTAGAAGTTGGAGGTCCTTCTCAGATACACGGTGACTTTAAGGCTAGACTGGACTACATATGATCTTGTCAATAAATGAACATTCTGTAGTGTTAGACGCTCTGACCTCTGCCATCTCAGCTGCCTCAAAAGTTACCCACTGAGGCTGGGCCCAGTTTTCTGAGGCACTGGAGCCAGATGGCTTCTGAATAGAGTAATTCTGATCTCATTTCAAAAATACTAATGGTTATTCATATTTACTAGGCTAGCAATGTTTTAATTTAACACTCATTCTAGTGGAATTTGGTTACATCATGAAATGGAGATGGTTTCAGTAATGTTGGCACAAAGAAAACTTGGCCTCAAGTTTGGGTGAAGGTCACTGAGGGTCATTCTGAATCTACTTTGAAGAAATATGATTTCTCCTACTAAAATAATATTGTGAACTTGAGATATCTGTCCTGTTTGGGATATATAAAGGCAACAATTAATTCCTTCTATGGTGCAAAATGATACATCTTTTCATCCTTTCTCCTTTTTAAGACAGGGTCTCACAGTGTAGTCCTGGGTAGCCCAAACTCACTCTGTAGACTAGGCTGGCCTCGAACTCACAGAGATCTGCCTGTTTCTGCCTCCTGAGTGCTAGGACTAAAGGTGTGTACCACAGGACCTGCTTGTATTTATTTATTTAATTTAGGGATAGTATCTCTCTATGTAGCCCTGGCTGGCCTGGAGCCCTGGCTAGCCTTGAATCCACTATGTTGACTAGGCTGGCCTCTAATTCATAGAGATCTACCTGCCTCCTCATGCTGAGATTAAAAGCATGCACCACCACACCAGGTTCCAGTCTTGTTTTAAAACAAATTCATTACGCACCAATTACATGTGAGGCTCTGGGGATACAATGAATAAAAGAGATGTTTACTGAGGCTAGGGGTATAGCTCAGTCTGAAGACTGCTCGCCTAGTAAGCACTGAGGTCAGGATTTGCTCCTCAGCACTGCATCAGCTGGGGATGGTGGTCCAGGCCTGAAACCCTAGCACCAGGAGGTGGAAGCAGAGGAATCAAGAGTTAAAGGTCATCCTTAGCTATGCAAGGAGTTTGGCACTAAAAAAAAAAAAGAGAAAAGGTTCTGTGGTTTCAAACCTGAGGCACTATTATGATGAGGGAGGAATACAGTATGTATCAAAAGGAAGCAATAAAATCTCAAGGACATTTGGAACTTTTTATTTTAGGAAACTCTCATGAATGGACAAAGTCATTTTTTACATCTTAAGGGATACTCTCCAAGGATTTGCTAGGACACTGCAGTCTAAGAAAACTTGTATTTGAACTACATAATTTCTAAATTTTACTTTCCTGTAGTACTGAGGATGGAACCCAAGGCCTTGTGCATGGTACACAAGTCTTCTACCTGAGCCACACCCCAGCCCCTCACTGGGGATTCTAGGCAGGTGCTCTACCACTGAGCCACACCCCAGCCCCTCACTGGGGGATTCTAGGCAGGTGCTCTACCTGAGCCACACCCCAGCTCCTCACTGGGGATTCTAGGCAGGTGCTCTACCACTGAGCCACACCCCAGCCCTGCACTGGGGATTCTAGGCAGGCGCTCTACCACTGAGCCACCCCCCAGCTCCTCACTGGGGATTCTAGGCAGGTGCTCTACCACTGAGCCACACCCCAGCCCCTCACTGGGGATTCTAGGCAGATGCTCTACTATTGAGCACTGGAACCTAAATTTTAAAATGCTGCTTTTCTAGCCCCCTGGATCTGATTGGCAGGAGCCACTGAAGCGTAGTGGACATGTCCCTCCCTCACTGGGTTTCAGGAGCTGTTCCTCAAGCATATATGGTCAAGGTCATTTTCAGGTGGAAAGAGCTTTTCTTGCTTTGGACCCCAGGAGAACTTGTTTCATTAGACAAAGTGTCAGCTAAATACTATGATCTAGAAGTGAACAGAGATCAGTTAGTTACTTAGCACCATCTCTATACAATGTTTATTGCTCCTCTCTAACATCCTTAATTTAAATGACATGTACATGATGTGAATAAAAGTTCCAGAAAGAAGCTATCTTCAAACTGCATCTTCGGCAAGGCTGATTAATTGATTAGACAGAGCTTCAGTGATTGCGAAGAGGCTGGAATATTGCAAATCCAGACCCAAACTATCTTGGGCCATTTTCAGCCTTGGTAATAGCCATTTCTCATCTTCCTCTGTACCTGACCTCACAGCTCTGTGACTGTTAGGTAAATCATTTGGAATGTACAGAGCACTAACTTTCCTTTGGAATGTATTAACTTAGCAGACCACTAGCCTTCACCAACCCCAAAGCCAAGGCTGTCATCAGATAGCATCTGAGGTGGATAACACAGGTTTCCCCACCTTGCTCAACAGGCCTCTCCTATGTTTCCACCACTGTATTTGAAAAGTGTCTTGATTTATGACTTTCTTAGTTCTGTTATTATAAAAACATTGGGGCTGTAGAGATGGCTCAGTGGTTAAGAGTACTGGCTGCTCCTGCAGAGGACCCAGGTTCAGTTCCCAGCACCCATGGTGGCTAACAACCATCTGTAACTCCAGTTCCAGGGAGTTACTCCTTTTCTAGCCTTTGCTGCTGGCACTGCACACATGTGGTACACATACATACATGCAGGCAAAATACTCATATACATAAAATATTAATTTAAAAAGTTAAGGCCCTCATGAAACTGCATTCGCCTGGAACATGGAATTTGGGGGTGGCCTAAATCCATGTTCCCTTGGGTCATGACCACTCATATTTGGCTCCAGAGTAAACTATCTCTTCTCCCCTTTGAGGTACAAGTTGTGTTTCTGCTACTACATTGACAATGCTTATTCATTCCAGCAATTCATTCCCCGATGACTAGTATTGTCTTCACTCCTGAAAAGCGCAGGATAATTTCACAGCCGCCAACTAATGAGCAGTGTGCAAGTGGCACTTCCAAATGGCACCCGGGGGAGCAGGCTGTTGCCCAGACAACCAACCATCCGACCCACCCATGCACCTGCCAGAAGAACTCAATGAAACTTCTCAATGGAATGTTCTGGGCTGCTGGCACATTCTGTTATGTGCTCATTTAAAAATATAACCCACTTCCCTTCAGCACAACTAGTAACAGCAGATAAAATGTACTAAATGCTTATAGTGCAACCAGGCACTGTCCACACAGACTCTCAGCTACTCAACCTCACAATTCCATCAGAGTTACTGTTGCCATATTCATCACTGATCACACAAAACTGAGGTTAGGAGCCTAATTCATTTAGGCTGGGATGCAGCTCAGCAGGTAGCGTGCTTGCCAACAACACACACAGCCCTGGGTTCCATCCCCAGTACCCCATAAACAAGCATGGAGGTGCACACCTAAAGTCACAGCACTTGGGAGGTAGAGGCAGAGGATCAGAGGTTCAATATGAAGAGATTCAAGATCTCAGGTCGATGGAGGGAGAGAGGGAGGGAGGGAGGGAGGGAGGGAGGGAGATTTTAAACAGCTTGATCAGCTATAGTCAGGAAAAGCCGCCCATTCC